ACTTGCTGAAAGTAAATATCACTCATCGCACTTTAGTTTATTTTTTATTTCATCTTTAGAAATAAAATAGTATTTTTTTACGTAATCATTAAAACTCCCAATGAAACGCTTTATTTTACTTTCATCTTATAATGTAGAACATAAATTAATTGAGCCTAACGTGTCCGTATGGGTGAGATTGGCCCTACACTTTTAGTTACTTACTAGAAAATAAATTAAATTATTCAAATTTATGATATTCCTGTATGATCATTTTTATCCATATAAAATTCTATTTTACTATCTCATCCCGGGAAAAGAAATTATTTTTCCCGCAATCCCGCTGGAGGCAAATTTCCCGGGAAATGAGAAACCCTAGTCACGGCACGGCACGCCACTGGAGATTACAGATACATTTTTCACATTATCATGCTTTATCAACACTCTACTCTGTACTTAGGAGATTTGTAATGGAGGGTTAATTCTAAACACACAATGAGTTGACTTTTTTGTTTTTAGGCGTCAGAATTTTTCATCGAGCTATTCGGACTTCACAACCTAATATTGAAGGATTGATCGCGGGCCACATAAATTCATTAGACGGACCGGATCTGGCCCGCGGGCCGTATGTTGGCCATTCCTGGTCTAGGTCCATTCGTATTCGTTTGTTCGATAAACCAATAAAATCCGTATCAGGGGCGGACTGGCCATGTGGCAAATGTGGAAAATTCCACATGGGCCGTATACAATTTGGGCCGTTTTTTTTCTAAATATGTACATAACGTACCGTTTGGTTAAGTTTAATTTAAAAAAATTCATTTATTTTTTTTTGTTAAGTAAAGTAAATTTCAATTTTTACGTATAATACAGGTATATGTACAGTGACCATACGTCCTTTATTTAAGAGGACAGTCCTTTATTTCACTGCTCTGTCCTTTAACTTTATTTATTTCCTAAAATAGGCAATTTGTCCTTTATTTTGTAAAGTTGACGCAAAGTTTAAAAAAAAAAATTTTAATAATATATTGAACAAGTTAATTTTGTGTATGCCATCACGATCAGTGTTGAATTGCTACATAGAGCGCAGTAGTGCAGTGTGTCGCCAACCAAACGGCCCACTGACAGTACCAGGGGATGGACACTCTTATGGGGATTTTTGTGATAGTTTTTTTAACTCTCTAGTTGGTGGATGATACACTTGTTAATTAAAGCTAAAGTTAGTTGAAAGAAAAAATGAGGGGTTTCTTCCTATTGTTATTAGAAAAGTGGTCTTAGCATTAGAAAAATCAGAAAATATACAAGCCAAAAAATTCAATGACGTTGTGTACACATTTTATCAAACGTGCATAGATTATCTAAATGATTGGGACATGTTTTTTATTGAAATAGAGGTGTTTAAATGGGTCACATTATGTGAAATCCCTTTGTGGGCGAAGGTAGAGGAAAGCTATATCTTTATTTCGAATCATTGGTCCGTAAATATACTCGACGGTGAATTATTTGATGAAGTTTCATGTGTAAAAAAATATGTCACAAACGAAAAGATCGACGAATGGTGACAGAATAACCAGCCCTGCCATCAAAGGTGGATTGAGATTTTTGAACATTTTACAGCAAAAGAAATTGTTTTCAAAAACATTTGTAAAATCGTAGAATTTTCTTTGTCTCCCTGGATCTAATGCCCCCGTTGAACGAATATTTTCATTGCTGAATAATATGCGGACGAATGAAAAAACCCATTTAAAAGTAAGCACATTAGAAGCATGTATTTCTGTCAAATACAACTTTCAAATGAACTGTATGGAATTTTATGACTTTAAAGCGTGAAACGGCGCTATAAAAAAATTAATTCTACTGAAAAGTATCAAAATTAATATTATTTAAATTTTTACAATGTGTATATGTGTAATAATTCAGATTGTTTAAAATTTTAATGTATGCATTGTTGTATGCTACTATTTTCTTAATAAATGTTATAAACTTATGGATTTTATAAGGTATTTTTTGATTTTCTTCGATATGTCCTTTATTTTCCCCCAAAAAATATGGTCACTGTAGGTATATGTATCATTTTACCTGGCCTATATCAAAATATGTAAATACAGGCCTATAAAATAATATGGCCTATATGTAAAATAATACAGGCCTGTATCATTTTACCCGGCGCTACCCCTATCCGAAGTTAAATTAGTTCGGCCGATCTGAGTCAAACACTACATTAGCTCGATTCGCCCAAACAAAGCATCCTAGGAGAAAAATATCAAAACTATCTTCTAAACCAGTGGGCGATATCGCCCCCATGTGGGCGTTTTTCCATGTTGAGGGGACGATTAGTAACAATTTATATTTTGGGGGCGAAAAACAATTTTCTGAGCGATATAGTAAAACATTATATTAAGAATAATTAGATATTTTATTCGTTATATCGTACAATAATCAAACAAATAACATTATACTAGTGACTAGTCTATTCAATGCAGTACGAATTTGGCGTTAGCCTTGGCCCTTGGCATCGGAATTTTGAAGTGAAGAGGGCGATACTACGTAACGGTTTTATTGAAGGGGGACAATTCGTTAGAGGTTGAGAAACGCTGCTTTACATCATACTTTCCTGCTAGAAATAGTCATATTTAAAATGACGATTTAACATGTTGCAATTCTGATATAATATTGTGTTGAGTAGCTACTGGATTAAACTGTATTAAAATACAGTACTGCTTAATTTTTGAAATGCGTTTTCAGGAATATTTAGTGATGGTCCCGTAAATTTTGGTCTAATGTGCTTTGAACTCGCTGTAAGATGACAGTCGAACTCTCCCCGGTTGCTCTCTCTCCCACCTTCGCTGATCTAGATCGATTTATTCCAGATAGCCTTCTCATTGCAGTCACCAAGAACAATTTTGTAATCATACCTAAATAATATTGTTGCAACGAATAGTATATTCGGCCAGGAGCGTGGCCGAATAGCCGAATATTCGGCTTGATTAACGCACGTACGAATATTGGCGTGCAAAGCGCATTATGACAAGGACCCTGCTCTCTATTGGCCCGTTGTCACTACGCTTCGTCAATCACGTTAATTCTTGACAGTTGTAGCGGACAGACAAGAGCGTCATGGCAGAACTGTATGTGATAAATGATATCAAATGTGGATAACAATGAAATGACCTACACATGTAAATAACGGAAAAAGAAGAGAGAAGGACCGCGAAGTGAAAATAAATATGAAATTGAGTTGATAACATAATCGAACAAGTCGAGGCAGCTTATTGGCACGAAATTCGGGGCCGTCAATGTCAAACAATTGTTATCATAGACTTCGGAAAGCTAAATGTTTGTAATAAAAGAAACTTAGCGTGCACGGGCGAAAGCCTGGGGCCGTTCGAGCTACCAAGCTGTCTTGAATCTGTGAAATCATAAATGTCTCTTTTCTCCGTTATCACAAGGCTATGAGTCAGGTAATTGTAAAATTGGAAATCTACGACGGAAAAGTGATGAATCGAAAGTATCGTGAGCGCGTATTCTGATGTATTCATAGGCATACGTGGACTAGAGCGATAGAGGAAAGAGAAAGGGAAGAGCAAAGACGAGCGCTTAAAAAAGGATAGGCAGGATCAGACCTCAGATGTGCGACGATTCTCGAACGAATAAGTGTGTACATCTGCTGATCTTTGTAATTATAAATTGCGAATACATGTGACTAATATTATTTTCTTTTTTATTTTGTGCATGTTATAAGTTATAAATAAATGTAAACAAACAACACTAACTCGATAACATTAAATCTAAATACCAAAATGATTAATTTACTGTGTTTTTGTTATTTCTTACTCCTGTTTTTAGGTATTCGGTCGAATAGTGATTAAATATTCGGTATTCGGCCGAATAGCGAAAAATAGGCCGAATACCGAATAGTAACCGAATATTCGTTACATCACTAATAAATAATTTACCATAAAATTTCATCTGAATCTTGATAGAATCTACTTTTGGGGCGTGTTTGGAAATTGTAACTGGTGTTACTGGTAACTGCCAGTAGTTTAGAAAATGTGACCTAAATAACCAACTGCGTTTAAAAATTACCATTACGAATACAATGGTTACAATTTTCAAACATGCCCTTGGTCTCTTCAAGTTAGTATGTATACTTATTACGTATAAAATAAATTTAATTCATGATTTTAATTCAACAAATGAAACATTTTAAATCTTGAAAAGAAACAAATATTAAAATGAAGAGATTCTTGAATAAAGTGTTTTGATTTGAATTTAGATAAAATTTAAGATTATTATAATCAATTCACTTTTATTTAATTAAATTGTTTTTACATTTCACAAGCAAGAATATAAGAAATCTGAATACTTTAAATAAATTCAAAAATGTTTTTCTTATAAATAAATTTATAAAATTCATAGCATTAAAATTTTCTTCTAATAAATAGCTTATCTATTTTTATGACTTATTTATAAATCAAAGTTTTAGAACTACAAATTCAAACTTAGAAATAAAAAAATTCTTTTTAATTAAATGACTAATATTGTAAAAATTAAAAGCAATAAAATATATTTATATATATGTAAATTATTAAAATATTTTTTTGAAAACATATTGCTATTCATAAAATACACCAAAATTTAATAAATTCAGCCAGCTTTATTTTTGCACATTAAAAAAATTTTTTTCAAAGGAATAATACAAGTCTTATTGGCTAATTTGTTTCTATATTACAATATTAAAACTGTTAATATTAAAATGAAGCTAAATGAAATTAATTTATATTTTAACATGCTATTTTAATAGTAGAAAATCTTAGATACAAAAAAGCATTTTTTAAATTATAGTTAATGATATGATAAAATTCTGAAAAAATCCTGAATTTCTTCAATTCAGGTCAATTTGTGGTAATTTTAAAAAAATTCTAAATTCATTATTATTCAAATCAAGATGTAGAAAATGCTCAGATTTTTTTTATTAAATTTCTTGGCACAATATTTAAAACTTAAAGTAATCACACTATTAAAGTTTATTTCATTATATTGCTTTTAACATAATTAAGAACTTGAAACTTAACAATATTGGATACTAATCTTTAACAATACATTTCATAAAAGCTATGAAACTGAATAACATGCATCAAATGCTTGAACTTTTTATTGTATTTGCTTGCTCATTAAATACTTTATCATTTCTTGTAAGTTAGAAATAAACTTATGCATTGTATCAAAATGATTTAATTACACATATTCCATATACATAAAATTCATTGGTTACATTTAATGAAGTTGCATTATTTTTCAAATCTCTGAATTAATTTTAATTTTAAATATTTGTCCCATTGGATAATAAACACTGAGCATTTTTGAATTTTCTAATCTTATGGTTTATTTTATATCTAATAATTTTGTAATGAATTTAGATAAAAACTAATCACTGTATATGACACTATATCACATGAATGCACTGTATAAAAATATTATACAAAATATTCTTTCATGGTTCCTTATATTAAATAATATTTATTTTTTTTATTATTTTCAAATGGACAAAATCAGTTTATGAGTTAATATCTACCTTTGGTAATTTTGTTTTAATTGGAATGCACTGTACAATTGGCTATTTAATGAATATATTACAAGGAAGGAATATTTTTTTCAAATAAAGTTTATAAATGAGTCTCTTAAGTATATTTCTCATGATTTACAACTACCATGTATAAACAGTTGCAAAAATGTGCAAAATTACGATGATAAAATTTACAACATATAGTTTACAAGAATAGCCGCAATAATATCTTTATATACAATTATATCACTTTTGAAATGAGGAAATTGTTCCTCTTTGAAAGAGGAAACAATGGAGCTTGCAGCTTGCTATTTTCTTTAATATACATACATATACACAAACATATACATATGTATATAAAATTTATATATGTATATAAAATTATATACATACATACATAAATACATACATTACAGGAAGCAATCTTCTCTCATAAAGATAATCGTATAACTTATTTATATATATATATGTAAGGGGAGAGAAATTGCTATAAATTATATGAGTGCATATAAAACAAATATTAAAAAATTAGCTTAATGAAAAATTAGATTACACAATAATATATAATTTTAATTTGGACAAATATACTAAATTGCCTTAAACTGATAAATTTATCATGTTTTGTGCATATTTTATATATTTATATAATTATGATCTGAAAATTTAAAATGTATCTCAATCCAGCAATGATACAAAAGAAACTTTTCATACTTGTATTATAAAAGTTACATAATTTGTTATGCATATAACTATCTCAACTTATCAATTTATTTTGCTTACATAATTGAGAACTTTTATTATAATGTTTTTATATCACCGTGTTTTGTTAACATTCAGTTCCTCATCATCATCGTCATCGTCGTCATCATCATCTTCATTCACAGTATATATTTCAGGCCATTGTGTTTCTTGATCCTTTTTTCTTACATGAAGAGATTTTTGTATTCTTCTTCTTGGAGTTGTGCGAACTTTATAAAATTCTTCTACAGTTAAATTAACAATACCTTGTGCAGTTAATATTTTTCCATGTCTTGTTTTTAAATGTCGCTTAAATGTATTTCTTGTTTTAAATCTGTTAAAATGATAATTATATATTATAATGATGTAATAATTATCATCAACCTTTGAAATAATAATTAACAGTATAAAACTATTTAATCAGAAATACATACAGTAATACCCCAAACTTATGCGCAATAGGTGGGACCGAGCGATGACCGTGTAAGTCGAATTCATGTAAGTCGGGGTATAATTTTGCAATTTGTGTAAAATCCAAGTTGGATGTATGTAAGCTAATAAACGTTCTCTTTAATCTTATCTTGTCTTTTGATTCGTTCACAGTTACAAGAAATCACCACATAGAGTCTCTCAAGTGTCCATAGATATTAACAAACACAGAAATAAATAACATAAAATAATAGTAATTCAAACACAAATTATTATTGTATTTATTTTCAGGCACTTGGCAATTTTTATCATAAAGTTTTTTTATTTAGTTGATACGTGTTGATATTATTTACACACGTTTCGGGCATTTATTGCCCCTCTTCAGCCAACTAAAAACAAAAGTTCATAAGTTACAACACTATAAAATTATAAACAACAAACATATTAGGTATTGTTTTTTAAAAA